GGTATCCCTAGCCTCTGTTTGTCTGGAGGTGGATAAGAGGAGAGGGATCACATGAGGATTACCTGTTGTGTTCCCTCCCTCTGGGGTATCTGGTATTGGCCACTGTCGGCAGACAGGATACTGGGCTAGATGGACCTTTGGTCAGACCCAATATGGCCGTTCTTATGTTCTAGTATTCTGCGATCATATGGAAATTGCTGGATTTGCTCTGGGTCCATCAAGTCCCGGCCTGTATTTAACTCCTGAGTCAGTAGCAAGTTACCAATGGTGATAAAGAAAACATTTAAAAATATTAAAAACTGGAGCAACTGTCATGAGATTTTTCCAGAATACTCATCTCTGTTTTCATTGGGAGCACTAAATATAGTGCTTATAGACTTGTGCGTAAGAACCCGCAGATGAGGGCCAATTTGCTTCCCACGGTACGTCTCATTCTGGTTTCTGCTGTCAGCAACCGGTTCAGAGCCTAACGCAGGAGCTTCTCTAATCCGTCTCAACAGCACTCATCCTCCTCTTCCCCAATCCGTCTCAACAGCACTCATCCTCCTCTTCCCCAAAGTCCATGACCCTCACTTGTTTGTTAGGTCATATTTCCAAAGATTGTAAGTTCTTTGGGGCGCACTCGGTATGGTGTCAACGCGAGTCTCTTTCAGTCATTTTTGGTTTGGGGGGAAATGTTGAGTGAGGATCATGAAATAAAAAGGGAGCCAAAGTTGGAGAGAAATTTGCTAAACTCTAGGAAAACAGGCCTTGGGGCTCAAGGCTCACTTATAAAGGAAATTGTCTACACTAGGAAACTATTTTGAACTAATGACTTAACTCCCGATTTTAACTTAACTTCGACTTAACTCCCGATTTTACAAAATCGGACTAGCATGTCCACACTACAGGGAAGTCTCAAAATTAGTCTGAGGCATGCTCCATTAATGTGGACGCACTACCTCGAACTTAGAGCCACAGGAAACATTACGGAGTAATTCGTTCAATAGTGGCACCAGAGCACCTTGCCCGAGGAGGTTGTGAAGGCTAGGACTATAACAGGGTTTAAAAGAGAGCTAGATAAATTCATGGAGGTTAAGTCCATAAATGGGTATTAGCCAGCATGGGTAAGGAATGCTGTCCCCAGCCTCTGTTTGTCAGAGGGTGGAGATGGATGGCAGGAGAGAGATCGCTTGATCATTACCTGTTTGATTCACTCCCTCTGGGACACCTGGCATTAGCCACTGTCGGCAGACAGGATACTGGGCTGGATGGACCTTTGGTCTGACCCAGTCTGGCCATTCTTCTGTTCTTACATTAATACTATTTCAAAATAACTATTTCAAAATTCAGGACTATGTAGCACTTTAAAGACTAACAAGATGGTTTATTAGATGATCATCTAATAAACCATCTTGTTAGTCTTTAAAGTGCTACATAGTCCTGTATTTTGTTTCAGCTACACCAGACTAACATGGCTACATTTCTATCACTATTTCAAAATTAGCCTTATTCCTTGAGAAAAGCTGAAGTACAGATTTAGAAGTAAGCAGCCTGTTATTTCAAAATAATGGGCTTGGTAGTGTGGATGCTCCGCTTATTAATTTGACCCAAGGGGAGTTATTTTGGAGTAAAATATTAGTGTAGATTGGGGCTTTGTGATATTTTATTTTCTCATGCCGGGCCCAAATCATGTCAGCTGATCTAAAGATTCATCACAGACCACGTTTCACTGAGCAGAGAATATGAAGTTAGTGCAAATTCTGCCGCCGTTCCTTTTAAAAAACAATCATTATTATTTCTCAGCCAGCCACGTCGTTCAAATTGCACACAATTATAAAATGCAAATATTTATCTAGCTGCACGATCATCTTGACAAACCCATTTCCATGACAGAAGTTCTGCAGGAACTTTCGTTCAACCCTGTCCTGCCGCTAATGCTGAAAAAGCAGGTCCTCAAAGCCCAGCCTGTAAAACTCCTGTGGGGTTTTACATCAATCCATCCCATTCTGCATTCTTCTCAGAGCAGGCATGACATGATTATTACTACTTACATGCTGCTCTGTGAGCTATGGCTCCCCCACCTGATATTTTTATCTCTCATTTAATCGTCATTTTGGAGGGTGCCACTCGCATTAGATCCAGCAAAGTGAGGCCCTTGCAACCCATAAAGATAAATATGGAGAAATTTGCATGGCTATCAAGACTTGTTTTAACAGCGCCCTGCAGTTCAATTTGGCCTGGCAGCACCGGAATATTGCTTGCCAAGAGAGTACGCAGACGCCGACGTCTAACACACCATAAACGATATATTTATTCATAGAAATTGAACTTAGCATTAGAGAAAGTGCTGAACCACACACAAAACGCTTTGGGCCCTTCAAGTAACTCTCAGCACTTTGCAAGTACTGAAGACTCACTTCCAGCAAGGAGCTAATACCCTCTGGATATAATTCTGCAGAAATACACATCCAGAAATAACTCTCACCAAAGTCTCTATTCCCCGTGTTTCGGTGCATTTAGAGTCAGAAGGATCCCAGTGGATCATCCAGACTTTCCTTCCCTGGCTAGACTTCACCATCCAGTCTAATTTTAAGTGGCTGATTCCTTCTCTCTTACAAAACTACAAGACCCTCACTGCGGATGTCCATGCAATAGGCCACATCAGAGCTAAAATGTAGAATTCTGTGAGTACTGAAACTATGAGGCTCTGCACTGAATGCTCAGTCTAGGCATATAAGTCGTACACCCCTCTGAACAGTGATAGAAATGTAGCTGTGTTAGTCTGGTGTAGCTGAAACAAAAAACAGGACTATGTAACACTTTAAAGACTAACAAGATGGTTTATTAGGTTATGAGCTTTCATGGGCCAGACCCACTTCCTCAGATCAAATAGTGGAAGAAAATTGTGCTACCTACCACTTAGGTTGTTGAAATGAGATGTTTTGGTGCACTAGCTGTGACAAAGGGGGCTGAATTTTCCATTGTGATGTGCTTCTTTGCAGCAGGTGCCAGACGGTACACATTCATTTAAGCCACCCTTGTGTGGCTGTGAGGCCTGTTCTTGTGGATGCTGGACACTGACATGCTATTAATTCATTACGGTGGAACCCGGAAAAGACGTTCCATCCACTCTGTTCTGGTCCCATCCTATTGCCTTGCTAATACACCCCAAACATATTAGTGCATCTGCATTCGACCTGTACTAGAAGAGTCCTCTGTTAGCAAACTATTTCTGATGTTGTCTTGAATAATTCTTGGCTGTATTGCAAGATTTTTATTCTCTGGGCCCTTGTCTATACCTATCTGGAAATTGACACTCCAGAGATCCATCTTCTGGGGTCTGATTTAGCTGGTCTAGTAAAGACCTACTAAATCAACCACTGATGGCACCCCCGTCGACCACGGTGCTCCACCCAGTCGCAAAGAGTAAGGGAAGTCAATGGGAGGGTTTCTGCAATGGGGACCTTGACTCTAGATACACTATTCTTAAGGTTCCTTGACTCCAAATACACTATTCTTGTAGCTGGTGTTAGGTCACTCTTCTCCCCCAGAGTAGACCTGGCCTGGGATTAATGAATCAGGAGGTGATGTAGATTAACAGAATGCTGTCATGCTTTTATCTATGAGTAAGCAATAACCTATGATAAGCAGAAAAGCTTATTAATATACTACAGATTTTAATGTGTATTTAACACAAGTGGGAGGTGTGGCTATAGATTACGGCTTGTTTTGTAAACTATAAAACAAACACAATAGAGCAAAAAACAACAACAAATGGTCTGGTAGCACTTTATAGACTAACAAAACACGTAGATGGTGGTGTGAACAAGACACTCCGGGAGCAGCTTCTTCAGAACAAGTTGGGGGGAATGACATTCTCTTTCCTGCTGCACTCGATTTATGTGGCATAAATTACCTTTCTGCTCTACTATCTGTATTTCTGGCTTCGGGCTAGCATTCTGGGTCAGTCTCTCTGATGTTCAGGATATTCTTCTTATACATGTAGGGCTACTTTTGCCTAAAGATCACAAGAGACCTTGTGTCCTTCTTAATTAGTACATCATCTCACATATCCTGAAAGCAAGCTAATGGAAAACATCTTCTCCTTTATTTAAGCACACTATGTACTAGTACAGGTTGTACCTCTCTAGTGCAGCACTCTAGGGACTGAATGTCTATGAACAAGAGAATTTTTCAGATTATGGGAGGTCAGTATTATTTAGAAGCATTACCAAAACTCCCCCAGCTTTCTGGGCCCTTAGAAGAGATTTTGGGGCAAATTAGAGCTAAGCAACAGCACAGAACACTGAGAGTCAGGACTGGTGGCTGTAAACAAACTTTAAGGGACCACGGGAAACTTGGCCACACCCATGGTAAGTGGACACCCTGCTAAGTAAAATCGTGCTGGACCACAGATGTTGCTGGACCAGAGACTGCCAGATTAGAGAGGTTCAACCTGTGTATTGCTCACAATTTTACAGGGACCAATGGATTTAATAGGCTGTATCCCTCACTTTGACTTATTCTTATCAATGCATCATAGGTGGGAAAATTGGCTGCTATGTCATTTCTAAGCCAAAATGTACCTATGCTGTGGTTGGATACCAAAACATACCAAGACATGCACTCCATTTCAGCTGAGCATTCACGGTTACATTAAGTCCAGGAACGACAACTCAATTACAGATATTGAAAAATGGCTCTTTGTGGGAACGGTGACGTTGAGTCCAAATGTTAACTGGGGCTGAATGTGATATGGGGGAAAAAAATAAAAGCATGTTTCTGTAAGCACAGAGAGGTTTACAACCAGCACCCTTTATGGGGTGTGTTTCATACCTCATTTCTCCCAATCCTCATGGCATTTTTTGTTGTCTGCTCAGAGACTAAATCTATGCTGTTCTTAGGAAAACAAAACAGAAAAGGCAGTTACCTTGTCGGCACTCCGCTTTTACTGGTTAAAAACTCATCCTGCCTCGGAATTAAAAAAAAAAAAAAAGAAGTACAATATGGACAAGTACCTGACACGCGGTAAATGGTTTAATTCTCCAGAGGAAAGGGGGGATGTCGAGAACGGAGATCTGAAGACTAAAGGTATTCCCTTTGAAATGCAGCAACTTCGGCTCTTCCAGCAATTGTCCTCCTTGGTGTCTTTCATCGGAAACGACTTCCTGGAGCAGAGAACAAAACCAAACAAAGATGAGGCGTACGGGGCCTCGCTGTTATAGAATCACAGAATACTAGGACTGGAAGGGACCTTAAGAGGTCATCGAGTCCAGTCCCCTGCCCTCGTGGCAGGACCAAATACTGTCTAGACCATCCCTGATAGACATTTATCTAACCTACTCTTAAATATCTCCAGAGATGGAGATTCCACAACCTCCCTGGGCAATTTATTCCAGTGTTTGACCACCTGACAGTTAGGAACTTTTTCCTAATGTCCAACCTAAACCTCCTTTGCTACAGTTTAAGCCCATTGCTTCTTGTTCTATCCTCAGAGGCCAAGATGAACAAGTTTTCTCCCTCCTCCTCATGACACCCTTTTAAATATCTGAAAACGGCTATCATGTCCCCCCTCACTCTTCTCTTTTCTAAACGAAACAAAAACCCAATTCCTTCAGCCGTCCCTCATAGGTCGTGTTCTCTAGACCTTTAATCATTCTCGTTTCTCTTCTCTGGACCCTCTCCAATTTCTTCACATCTTTCTTGAAATGCGGTGCCCAGAACTGAACACAATACTCCAATTGAGGCCTAACCAGTGCAGAGTAAAGCGGAAGAATGACTTCTCGTGTCTTGCTCACAACACACCTATCTGTTGAACATTTCAATATGGGCACCTGGGCATGCGTGGCAAAGAGGTCAGACTGACAGCCCGGGGAAAGGAAGAAGGGAGGCTGCGACTGTGGGACAGGCAGCCGCCGCACGAGCTGTCCTTCCTGGCCTGGAGAAGGTGACGTGGCACTAGTTTGTATGGACCACATTTTGACGGTGGAGAATGGAGGATGCTCAGTGCCTGTGCCTCTATCAGTCTTTTATTCTTTGCTCGGAGGGTGACTCTTGTGACCTGGCAGCAAGCCCACAGTGAAGATTCAGCCAGAGTGGTAGCAGCTGGAGCCCCAGGCCCTATAAATTGTGGTTGTCCCACTGCACCTCATGCTCTGGGCAGCTTTGAGGGCTACGTGGGGTGGCCTAGGACAGCACTGAGAGTGGTTGCCTCAACCTCGCCCCTTCTGCCCTGAGGCACCGCCCCCTTCTGAGCTCGTAAAACCAGGCCCCACCCCACATACTTTGCCCAGGGGCCCGGCAAGTCTACTGGGTACCTAGGTACTTTTAAAAATGCCACTGGAGTCCTAGCTGTACTTGTAGGCACCTAAGTACCCTTCTAAATCTGGCTCAGAGCTCTGTCTTTGAACGGAGTGGGACAAGAATTGCACCCGTGCATTAACTGCCACATACATTCATGTTCTACAGAGAGAATAATACATGTCAAAGAATAGCAGAGGGAAATATTGGATAATTCTTACGTTCTTATTCCTTTAGTATAGATCCTGTCTAAGCTGCAGCATCATACAACTGGACTAGGCTGGCTGGGACCTTTTCCTACCTGTCAGTCCGCTACACTGATACTATTATTTGTGTAGGGCTACGCTGTGACCATGGAGAAGAGCAGGGTACTCCAGTGAGGGCTGCCCACATTACAGATTACAGTGACTGTGTTGGGGGGGGGGGGATATTTAGGCCAGGTCTACACTGTGGGAGAGGTGGACTTAAGATAGGCAACTCCAGCTACAAGTATAGCATAGCTGAAGTTGACATACCTTATGTTGAATTTCTGCAGCATCCCCACTGTGGGGGTTGACAGGAAAACTCTCCCATTGATTTCTCTTACTCCTTGCAACTTCATGAAGTACTGGGGTCAATGTGGGTGCCATCAGTGGTTGATTTAGCAGGTCCTTAGTAGACCTGCTACATCAAACCCTGGAAGATCGATCTCCGGAATGTTGAAAGTAAAGACAAGGCCTAACTCTCTTCCCTACCTGGTGACCAGAGCAGCAGAGGCACAGTGTAGGGGGAAGTAAGTTGGCCCTGGAAAAGTGCTGACACAGCTTACTTCTCTGCTAGAGGAAAGGGGAAATCAGGGGTTGAGTCTTGATACAAGTCACAGTTTGGTTTCTGGAGCAGTGCAACCTTAGTCAGGGCTTGCAGTTACTCCATGATGTAGCCTTTAGTGTTGACAACACACTTGTCACCATCTGAGGTAATCTCTTTAAAGATTACTCCCACCTCATGGAGTTAACTGTCTAAAAGGAAGACAAAGAAGAACTTGTGTTACTGTCCACCTAGTTCTTTAATGTTAATTTAAGTGGACAGATAGTGATGATGATGGGCATGTACTCTTAGGACTTTAATGGGCATGGGAACAGCAGCCCTGGATTTACACATTAGCAAGACAAAATGTTTCCATTTAAACGTAATAGTCAGAAATGATCCATCCACGCCTGAGGTTGCATGGAGGAAATAAGCAAGGAGCAACATCCTGTAGAAATCTTTTTAAATTAGATTTTAAATCCACATGAGTTGCAAATAATTTGGGAATGGCCAAGTGAGCTGGAGGGCTTGTTAGCCACAAAACCAGTTAGAAGGACTTGCTAATGGTTCTAAAATCGCCATTGTTGATGTGCTATTCCTTGGGGTGGAGATAATGCTGTACCCCATAGTTAATGCTCCACTACACTATACATCAGGCATTCCTAGCAAGAAACAAGATGAGGGCATTTGACAATATAATTCACTCATGTGCCAAAGGAGTGAATGAAAATGAGTTTCATTTCAAACACTGATATTTATATAGTAGCCCAATGTCTGAGTCTGTAACGCTGAAATGCTGGCTGTTCCCTCTGGGTGGCGCTGTTGCCTGAGTCACGTCCTTCACCTCCCACTGTGGCGCTCGGCTGACTTCTGCACCACTCAGCCGGGCCGCCGCGGGGGAGCAAGTGGCGCCACGCTCCCCATGCAGCACCCATGTACGTCACCTTCGCGCCCCCCTTTGCCTCCTGCTGTGGTCCTTGGCTGACTTCTGCCCCGCTCAGCCGGGCCGCCGCGGGGGAGCAAGCGGCCCCTCCTGCCGTGGCCCTCGGCTGACTTCTGCGCCACTCAGCCAGGTCGCCGTGGGGGAGCCCAAACCGCCGCTTGCTCTGCTTGCTCCCCTGCGGCGGCCCAGCTGAGCGGCGCAGAAGTCAGCCGAGCGCCACGGTGGGAGGTGAAGGGAAGCGGGGAGGTGACATGCAGCGTGACAGCAGCTCCAGGCTGTTTGGGCTCTGCAGTCCCCCAAGTGAGAGGCAGGAGGCGGAGGAGAGCTGAGAGAGAGAGAAGGGGGGAGGCAGAAGAAGGAGGAGAGAGAGAGAGAGAGAGAGACGGAGCGAGAGACCGGAGGCTCAGGAGAGAAGACCGACATGGAGGAGAGACCTGAAAATCCCGTCTTATGACAGGCTAATTGGCTAATATGAAAGAATGGGCCAGGTATGTCTCAATTTCTTTAAAATTTATTTTACCCAGGGAGGGTATATCTCTATTGTATAACTCCTTGCATTGCTCCTTGAAATCTTCTGAGGTGAACAACGGAAGTATGAACACTGGGTCAGTCCTCCACCTCTTAATCATACAAGTACTCCTCATCAATGCTGGTAGTGAACAGGACTGCTCTCGACAGAAAGAGCTGGAGACCTGGGACCATTCCATCTGTCGATGATCTCACACATGTCTCTGGCACCATGGTTTCTGATCTCAGAGGGGTCGCCATGCGAGTCTGTAACTTTAAAAATGAATGGGCCTAGGGCACTGCAGAGGCTAACCAGAAGAGATAGAATCATGAGCTTTCCACTTCATCAGATGAATTGGAGTGGAAATTACAGAAACCAAGAGACTTATAGAACAGCAAAAGTGTAGTACCTGTCAATTTTAGGACCCATGTTAATGAGGCTAATTAAGTGGTCTGGATGTGTCCTATACATAGCTTTTCATGTGAAAGTGCAGCTGTTAAAGGCAGGAGAAATTGGCTTTGTAATGCGCCAGTCAATTCATGTCATTGTTGAAGCCCAGGTTTGCACATCTGATCTATGCCATCAAGTGCCAGCAATTCTCCTCTGCCATGTATATTGGCCAAACCGGACAGTCTCTGGACCTTTAATTTGAACAACAGCTATGTAAAGTAAGCAGTAATATCCCCATTTCACAAATGGACGCGCTGAGACATGTAAGTTTGTCATCGGGTCAGGAATAGACCCCAGTCAGCCTGACTCAGACCAGTGTTTCCATTTATCCGTTGCCTAATTTTTTGTGCATGTGTGATCATTATTACTCAATTCCTACATTTAAAGGGAAACAGGCACTGAACTGACAGGATATTTATAGAGAAAACAGAATTTCATAAATATAGAATAGTCCTATGTATAGCCAACATATGCTGCTTTCCGCGAGTGGAAAAATGGTAATTATTCTTAAAACAAAAACTCTTTAAAAAATATCAAGACAAATTATAAACAGATAGGATTTATTTATTTATTTTTCTTTAAAATGAAGGGGGGGAGCCTGTCTAGATTCTTTTAATTTTTTTTCTGATTGCACAGCAATTCTGCAACCAAATATGATCCAAATAAATCAAGCTTTTTGTTTTGTTTGTTTGTTTCCTTTCAATAAAGTGCAGACTGAATAACCCATTCAGTAAGGGAATAGCGCTCTATAAGAATGAGTCTGAAAAAAAACCTGCAGTGGGTTGCTCTGGATAAGACAAACTCATTTCTGGCTTTCCAATATTTGCCATTTTCATCTGTCTTCTGTGACTGGAATTTCTGTTTCCGAGAGGGCTTTGATGATCTAACATATTACTTTTGGGGCATTCATTATGATGGCATACATGCAGACAACATCAGGACAGACTCTGCTGCTGATTAAACTTTTTGTAGCTACACTGAAGTCAATGGACAACACAGATTTATACCCGGTGAGTTTCTGACCCAGTACTAGTTAGGAGCTTCATAAATGTGCCTTTATATGCAAGGTCAGAATTTTGGCCTTAGACTTACAAATATTACTAGACAGTAGTTCTACACACCATCCAGTTATAAACAGCTACTGTACATCTCTCGCTACTCCTCGCTTGGTTGGGTGCTGCTTCTTTTATTAAAAAAACATAGTGATATTAGAGTGTGTTTTGTTAAGAGAGCCAGGTTTCTGTGATATAAAAAAGGAACAAAGAATAGGAAAAACAATCTCCTGTCACAACTGTCTTTATCTCTATTCCCAAAAGACAAGTGTTTTATTACATCGGCATCCATGGCAAATTCCAAAAGCAGTAATTTTTAGAGAAATGCCACATGAAAAAAGTCATCTGAATTTTCATAGGTATTGTGCACAACTATTGCGTTGCTGTTATGAAAAGAGTGAAAAACACTTACCAATACTTGGGTTGATTAAAACAGGGAGCAATGACTAATGACAATGTAAAGATAAATGATTTTGATCAATATTATACAGTACAAGCTATGTTATCTGCCATTCCTGGGGAATGGGAGATGCCGGTTAATCAAATGTACCAGTCACTCACGCTTTACACCGATGTTTCATGAATTTTCACCGTACATTAGCCATAGTTGCAGGATGGGTTAGATCAGATGCTTTTATATGCAGAAGCACAACATGAACAAACTTTACTGATGCAAGTTTACAAACGTGACTTCTGCAAGCACAGGAAAATGTTGAAAAATTATGCTGGATGTCTATCAGGATTTTTTCAGTTAATTAAAGGAAGAATTGTATTGTCATCTAAATCAGATGCCAGTTAACCAAGTTTTCCAGATGATAAAGTGCCAAATAACACAGCTTGTACTGTAGGGCATATGATAGGTGACCAATATTTTAGTACTTCTATTACAATAATGCCCCAATGGACTTGATGCAGTGCAAATGCACATGAAGAGTCTCTGGGAAGATCACATCATGTCTCTTTCCTCTCCCCTGCATTAAGTGCTTTGGAGTAAATTCACACTGCTGGTCCATGGTGAGCTAGGAGCAGTACCCTGCTTTGCTGAATCCCAGTCCAGTGACCTTGCCAGTGAACTGTTGGGATCTTTGTGGTACCCAATGGCAACCATAGGAGTCAGGTGTTTGGCAGAATCAAGAGTATTGGATGTGCTCTTCCATTTAAAGCTCTATTCAATGTGCACAAAGGGAGAGCACTCCAGTAGAAAACCAGGCAGGCTCTCTCAGTAGGGCAAGTCCCTCCCTCCCGCCCCCTTTTATAGCTTAGAGTGGTTCCTCCACCCGAACCTTTGTCCAATCTTGTCCCATTCTTTACACTCAGCATAACCAATCATATTTAACATTCCCATAGATCCGTGATCACCAATCAGGAGATCGCAATCTACCGGTAGATCTCAGGGGCTCTAAGAGTAGCTCTTGAGCCCTCTCTGAACTGCGCATCTGCGCAGTACATTTACATTAGATTTCCTCATGTAATGTAGGCGGGGCTTCAAGGAAGGGGCGGGGCAGTAGATCTTTGCCTGTTCTGAGACTTAAAAAGTGTTCTTGGAGACCACTGCCATAGATGAACCTCATCCCTGTGACCCTGTAGATAAACTTGTTTACTTTTACTGTCCATCTGCTGAACTCACCTTCCCATCGGACACTCTCTGAGACCAAAGAGAAGATGTTCCAGAAACTGATTAACTACCCCTGGGGAGGTAGAGGGGTAGGGGGTAAGTGTGACAGGTTTCTCTGCTCGTACATACCTGATAAATTAGCCTTTGCATAAAACACATATGGCTACGTCTACACTACGAGTTTTCTCTGCAAAAAATATACAAATGAGGGACTCAGTTGCATGAGTTGTGATCTCATTTGCATATTTTCTGCCAATCTGTGTTTGTGCTGGGTTTTTGCACAAAAACAAGCAGTGTGGACATTTTCTTTTTGCGCCAAAACCCCTTTTTCTGCAAGATCGATATACCTCCTTTTTTGGAGCATGAGGATCTTGTGAAAAAGGGGGTTTGGCACAAAAAGAAAACGTCCATGCTGCTTATTTTTGCACAAAAACCCCAGCACAAACACAGCGCGGCAGAAAATATGCAAATGAGATCGCGACTCATGCAAATGAGTCCCACATTTCCATATTTTTTGCAGAGAAAACTCGTAGTGTAGACATAGCCATACATTCCTAAGCATAGGCACAATATACGATACCCTTCAGAACTAAATCATATATGAAGGGAGGCAGTTTAAAGCTTCAAGGGGCACGTAGCGTCTTTTCGTTCCATATTTGCATAGTACCTAACACTCTGGTGTCTTAGTCCATGACAAGGGGCTTCTAGTTGCTATGGTAATAAAACTAAAAAGTAGTGACAATTCTGTGGGAAAATAATGGTCATAAAATTCACAAGTGGAAAGAATTTACCTGAAACGCGCAAGGCGTGTTGTCCATACAGTACACGCGCAGATTGTAATCCAGTGAATTGCAAGACATGCAGCCAAAAACTGCCACTTTCAGCTTTTTAACTGCGCAGTCAGAGATAGGCTCCCCAGCGAGAGTGTAAGTTCCAAAGCTGTCTAAGAGAATGTGACAGGCATAAGGATCCAATAGGCAGTAGCAGGAAGTAGTTTCCTCTTCCATCGACATCACTTCCTATATAATGAAAATCACATTTCAAAATCAGAAGGCTTTTTCAAACAGGCGCCGGGACATTTCTGTGAATTCCTTTTTGTTTTTTCCCTCCTAATTTGTTTGAAATGTTAAATATTTATCAGACTGCATGGACTTTACTCATGTAAGTGTTCCCCACCTAAGCCTGTGTCAGCAGTAGTGCGCATGGCTATACATTGTGCACGGCATGTTATAAGAAAGACGCAGAAGCAATTTTAGCATCTTCTTAAGCCGTCTCGGATTTCTAGCTAATTCTTCCTAATGTCAGGTTAAGAAATTAACCTTGACAATGGAAGTCAATAAGCAAATCCTGAACAAGAGTGTGCAGCTGACATCCCCTTACAGCATCCATCAAGATAATGTTTATTCTGATCCCAAAAGAAATACAATGTTTTGCCCTCACGTGCTGTTTTGCCGTGTTGTGTTGTCATTAGATACATGGTTTGGGGAACCGGCCCTGCAATCTTTCATTCTTCCTCAGTAGTCCTGGAGAACTAGCAACCAGTGCTGATGGAAAACTGAGTGAGTACTGAATGCAACAGAGCTCTCTATACTCACTGAAATGGTGCAGAAAATTGAAAGCAACGAGATCAAAAGCTTGCGGGGAGGGGGAACAGGAGCAGATAGAAAGTTAAGAATGTCCTGGATGATTTTCAGTGGTGGTCTGTCAATACAGGCAAACTTGGCAGTCACCTAGGATGCCAAGAAAAATGGCCATTGAGGGCTTCGGAGGTGGGAGTGCCGATCGCGCACCGATCGTGCATTTTACCTAGGGCGCCAGTTGCCGGCAGTTCGTCTAGGGCCGCTCCTGATGATTTTATGCCAGGGTTTTCCCATAGCATGAGAACAGACAGAGACAGACAGACAAACAAAAAACCCCAGAAAACTCAATGAAGTTGACTTAGTTGATACTTTGAAAGCTTCAACTGAAAATGGGAACTACTTGATGCAGAATATAATGAACCTGTACATATTACTGGCTCAGGGTAATCCACTCAAGTCACCTGTTAAGTGAGATGCAAAATGGCATGAAATATGTTGGTCCAAGAAGATTCTACTCTAGAAAAGTTAGGTAAAAATATTAAAAGTCATGCTTTGGTTCTTAAGGAATTCCTTCTCTTTCTTTCCTTCATGGTAAAGTTTTGACAGAGTGGTCAGATTTAGCTGTGGGCGGGTCTTCTAGGAGAGTTTAGATGTGCTTGAATTTATTAATGGCTTGGAAACCAGAGCTACTACAGGAGTCAATTCATATTGATGCCTGTCACGTGACCTTTGGTAAACTAAACAAAATCACATGACAAGGACAATATCATCCAGTGCAGTGACATTTTTCATCAGTTTTCAATTTCAGTTGGGAAAAAGGATTTAAGAAATCATCCAGATTTGTCTCTTACCCCTATACCCACTAGACTCATTCTACCTTTAGCCTGGATGATTGTATAGGTAGAACCTCTCTGGTCTGGAACCCTCGGGACGTGACCGGTGAGAAAGCAGAGAATTTGCTGGACCACAGGAGGTCAACATTGTCTGGCAGCATTACCAACACTTCCACTGCTTGCTGGGCTCTTAGAAGACATTTAGGAGTAAATCAGAGCTAAATAACAGCACAGAACACTGAGAGCCAGGCCTGGTGGCTGTAAACAAACTTTAGGGGACTTAGGGAAAGTTGGACACGCCCATAAGTGGACATCCAGCTCACTAAAATTAGGCTGGATCACAGTGTGCCGAACTAGAGAGGTTCTACCTGTAGTTTTTCATCACAAGTAGTGCCATTGGAGGCGCACAAATTTTAAACTTACCTCCCATTTTCCTTGCTGTGTTCTTTTTTTCAAGTGAATATTCCAATGTTCAGAATTTACTTCTGCACAATGTGGTATAGTCAAGGCAAAAGGAGTGGTGACAGTCACATCTGGAGGGCCGCATGTGACTTCTGGCCCGAGAAGAACTTCTGTGCCTTCTGGCTGTAGACTGTGTAAATAAAAATTAAAAGAAAAAAAATCAACGTAGTTTTTAAAGGAATGAAACGTTTCTAGCATTGTGTATCAAAAGAGAAATCATTTATGTTAACTGCAATACTCTAATATTTAAAATATTTGTAGCCAAAATAGATGTGCCTCCTTCATCTACCACACAGAGAAAACAGAAAGTCAACTGCTATGCTAATGTCAATATTTCAGGAGCTACTAGGCTACATATAAGCCATCCTCCACTGGTCAGTTCAGGATTTAATTTCTTTAAGTACTTCTCTATTTCAATAAATCTAATACATCTTTAATATTGCTCTACGTGAGCAAGGCTTATTTTATGGCTGGCGATTACCCCATCTATTTCTTTACCACCATGCAAAGATTGTTGATGTCAAGAAAAGAAAAACAAATTATGGTGTAAAAATACAGCCTCTCACAATTTTTCCCAGATTGAGTGTGATTTTCTTGGTTAGAGAACATATTTACATTCTGCCAATTGAACAAAATAGGCAATAGAGAGAAAGGAGATATTAAGTTATAAATATACAGTATCTGATATGAATCTTTTTCTCTGCTCACACATTTACACTGCATTTAACCCCATTCCACACAGATCCATTTCCCCTCACTTTATGTATTGTAAACACATGTGCAATACAATGGAATGGAAGCAACAGAAAGTGTCCGATTCAATTTTTAGACAGAAATGGCATCATTTAAATCATTTCCCCTGTCTTTATTTTATCTGTGGACTGTGTGTTAGGTCCATATCCTCATCGAGGTGGCTTGTGTTTTTATTATTTATTTTGTTATCATAACAGTCGGCCAAAATCTGCCCCTTTGACAGTGACATTGCATAGAGATAAGACAGGAAAGAACTGGCATAGTGCAGAGCCTTACTTGGGATTTTTATTATTATTTATATCAGTGTAGCATCAAGCAGCGTTGGTCATTGATCACAGCATTGTGCAAACGAAGAGCGAAAGGATGGTCCTTGACCCCAAAGAGTCGACAATCCAAGTAACGTCAATTACATTACTCACGTAAAATATCTTAGATATCTGCTCGAGTGTTTGAAGGATCGAAGCAAAATGGGGAAGAAATAGGTATACAAACACATTCACAAATAAATAGGCTGATTCTACTTTGCTGTTAAATGAGTCATGATATTAACTGTTCACAGGTATTTGTGTAAGTATTAATGACTCCCCAGAATTAAGAAACTGTTACATTTCTTTATTTGAAATGTCAAGCGAAAATCACATAATTCACTATCTCTGCCATTCTCCTCTGTATAAAATCTGTTATCCAATCAGAGAGCAGAAACACACAGCCACCACCACATGTCTTTGATAACCAACAAAACAACACAAACAGGCCCAGCTTCACTAAAGCATTTAAACACAAGCATAATCTACCTAACTGCCTTAGACTCTGTCTGTCTGTGAGTACATTTGTTGAAGAAATCCTCCTAAACAGTAAGAGCTAGGGCCATCTAGGGTATGTCTACACTACAGAGTTTTTTGTTTTTGTTTTTTTTAAACGGCAGTGTCTGTCCAGAGAAAGAGTCAAACCCTAGCTATTTAATGGGGTAGGTGCATCCCTTGCCTCTAACAAAAGGCACACGTCCTTCAACTCCTGCCTCCTATGTCAAACGCACAAAATACAGGTGCAGAGACGGGGGATGGAATTTGCCAAAGTTACCTCCAGCACAAATTTGAACTATTCATCTCCCATAGGAGGCACAAAATATAGATTAGGCTGCAAACAACACAACATTTACCCGCCTGGCCTGTGAATCAGGAGTTTCAGTCACTCTACCGGTGCTGATTCCCGTAAGTCGAGCGTTTGAAATGTCAAGAAGGAAACAAAACACTCTCACAAAAAGAAAGCGGGGGAGCGCCTATCTGGAGGATGATGTGAAACGCACTGAGGCAATACACCTATGGCCTGAAATTCCCCCTTCCCCCACCACAAAAAAGTTAACCATTGAGCGAAAAGTCGCTGAAACAGCATAACCTCACTAACAGCCCCGGGCAACCATCCAGGGTCTCTGCATTCATCCTGGGGAGTAATAGCAGGGATGTGAGTGACTGACCAATGCTAAGCTTTTCTGAAATGAGCTATTTAATTGCTTTTAGAGACTCATCCCCCCATTGCATGTATTGTACAAACATATGGGAATTCTGGGAATTATTTAATGCCAGATGAACCGAAATCAACTAATTAGATGAACTTTCACACTTACTGCAAATGGCAAGAGTCTCTTCTATAACAACTGACAAGGTATTAAGAAACTGATGCTTTTCAGAGCTACTTATTAAGCAAGGCAGGGAAGGGAAACATTACAAGATGCAGGTATTTAACATTCCCTTGGGTGCATAATAAACAAATCAGCATCCAGATTTAATCCTTCCAAATCCATCAAAATCAAGAGCTTCATAGGTTTCTAGTAAAGGAAAAAGCAAAGGCAGAAGTAGCAAATGTTTCCCTCTGAAACTACCTGGGAGAAATGGACATTTTGCTTTACATGAATCTTTCTTTTGCGCAGTTCAGAGGAAATGGTAGATCTTTGGCTGGGGGGTGTCGGGGGGGGCTCAGGGCCTTTTCTATGTTTTAAGATCAAATTTGATCAAACTAGAATTTCAAAATGTGAAAAATTTTCTGCTGAAAATGGAAAAAAAAATGTTAATTTAAAACAGCCCCACAAAATAAAGCAAGGCATGGTCCAATTATGAAACTAAAAAAAAGCAACAATACCAGGGCAATTAAACAAACTTCCATTTTGTCTAGTTCATATTAATATTATACAATCTTCGTATGACAGGTGCCAAAGGAAATCAAATACTTTGTGAACCCTGAATGAATCTCCACAAAGTACCTCCGAGGCAAATGTTATTCCTTCTCATCTGACAGAATTCCCAGAGTGGCTGGATTCAAACTGGAAGAGGTGGCCTCTGATTTTGGGTGGTTCAGTTTTTGATTGCCTCATGTTGAGACTTTGGACCTGATTGCATTAATGTTAATCCACTGTGGTACTTTTCTCATCTGTTGGCATCTTACCACCCACTGGGACAGTCACAATTGGGGGCAGAGTGGCCCCCTTACCCCCCCCCAGCCAAGCCCCTTTCACCTGCCTGGCGATTCCATCCCTTTTCTGTCTGGTTTTCTGAGAAGCAATCCCATTCCAGGCACATCCCCTTGTCCTGGCACAACCCAACCCTGACCTTGCTTTAAGTTATGATAAGAGAAAGCTGTGTACCAAATTGTGGCTTAATTGTGTTGCCCAAGATCGTAGAGCAAGGGAGAACTTTTGGAGACCTCACTCACAATGCCTTGCTCAGACCACTATACTGTACGTTTCCTGAATCTTCCACCATACCACAATGTGGTTTTGCTCGCATTAAGTCACAAATAAAAAGAAATCGGTGGTTGTTAATATTACTTTCTATGCTCTGGGGCAACATTGTTCTTAGTTTAACATAGGTGTATGATAGATTAATGGCGGTATGATCCATCTTTCTAGACTAGCTTTTGGAACACCATGCCTATCAGCATTATAAAGGAAGTTTTGATATGCTGAATATTGTCCTAATACATAATGCCACATTCTAATGGAGCAGAAACACAAGGAGACAGATCAGAAGCAAGATGGAAGTTGACTCTGAGAAATACAGCTGAAGGAAAAGATAACTCACAGGAAGGGGTAGACTGCCAGACTCCACCTACCGAAAAAGGAACCTTAGATCTCTCATGGAGAAAGGCAACATTACCAGCCTGGTTATTCTCTCTTTTAGGAGAAGCAATCCCATTCCAGGCACATCCTGCTGTCTTGGAGCTGCCAAACCCCGAACTTTCATGAAGTTATATGAGGAAGCTGCATATTGAATGTGGTAGTCCTAGCTCTTACCGTTTAGGAAGGGGTTTTGAACAGACAGACTCACTCTCTGAAATACGTAGCAGACTAGTTGACACTGTGATATGAAAAATCACTTCTATAACAGTTTAAACAAACTGCCAGCATGAGATGCCAAAATGTGAAGTAAATATCCTTATTTTAAACACGACTACATTCTTAACGAGCTTTTTTAACTTCAACTATCAGAACGTTTTGATTAATATGGAAGGAAATGCTTTTTGTCAGCCTGTGTGTGTTTGGTGAAATTGATGTTAATCAACATTTCTTGAACAGTCTATTCCATGAGGTGGGGAGCCTTTTTGGGGTTGGGGGCCACTGATCCACAGAAAAAAAAATCAGACAGGGGCTGCACACAAGTGAGAAGCAAAAACCAACCAAACAACAAAAACTCTTTGCTGATGTGGCCCCCTGACTGAGGAGGAGAAAGACCCTCCTCATGTTCCCCTCCCCGACCAGAATCTTGGGGGATGCCGAGCCTAGTAGATTTTGTGTGCTCCAGCCCCGGGGTCCTGCAGCCCTGGAATCCTTCCAAGCTTAGCTACATTGTCTAAGCATCCACACCAGTGAGTATACTCAGCCAAGACAATCTCAGTTCTTCTGCCTGCCCACGTTTTGTTACTGCCCAGTGCTCTCACTGAATCTGATGTTTCAGTGTTTTGAATGATCGCCTAGGGACCAGCTTTTAGGATTTCCTACAAAAAATAGTAATCTGAAGGATGGGTGTGGGGTTTAAATATGCGTGCACACAAATCTGACCAACCTCTTTGCATTAGCACTGTGTGGTTGTGTGCTGGGTATCTCTGGAGGCGGGGAAGAGAAAGATCATGCTTGACTACTCATGTTTTGCTATCGTTACTGGCTAAAAACAGACCCCAAAGCAATTTGATATATAAAGCAAACTGAGCTAATGGAATCTTGGCTCTGAATGAACCATAGTACAGGCTGAACCTCTCTAGTCTGGCACGCTCTAGTCCAGTAACATCCATGATCCAGCATGATTTTAGTGAGTAGAACGTCCACTTATCCTGGGTGTGGCCAAGTTTCCCGCGGTCCCATAAAGTTTGTTGACAGCCACCAGTCCT